AATTTCAGGGCGATGATGGGGAGAAAATCCTGATAGGGAAGATAGAGGAAAGAATGAGCAAAAGGTGAAAGTAAAGATTTATGTATTTATTTGAAAGGTAGAGTGAGAAAGGAATAGAGATGGGGGAGAGGGAGAGGGAGAGGGAAAGGGAGAGAGAGAGAGGCCATCCACTGGGTAACTCCCCAAATATCCACAGTGGCAATGGTTAAGGCTACACCAGGCTGAAGCCAGGGGCCCAGAACTACAGCCAAGTCTCTCATGTGGGTGGCAGAGACTCAAGTACTTGAGCCATCATTTGCTGCCTCCCAGACACATTAGCAAGAACCAGATCAAAAGCAGAGCAGCAGGGACTAAAACCAGGACTTTGATATGGGATGCAGGTATCTCAAGCAGCAACTTAACCTGCTGCACCACACTACCCAACCCGAAAACACTCATTTAAGGAGCTGGTTTGTGAAAGAGAGGAAGGACATAAGATGCTATTAAAGGAGGGAGATATGAGGATAAGGCATGGATTTTGTTGGAGAGTTTTGTTTAATTGCTATTTATTTTTTTAATTTATTTTTTATTTTTTATTTTTGACAGGCAGAGTGGACAGTGAGAGAGAGACAGAGAGAAAGGTCTTCCTTTTGCCGTTGGTTCACCCTCCAATGGCCGCCGCGGCCGGCGCACCGCGCTGATCCGATGGCAGGAGCCAGGAGCCAGGTGCTTTTCCTGGTCTCCCATGGGGTGCAGGGCCCAAGGACTTGGGCCATCCTCCACTGCACTCCCTGGCCACAGCAGAGAGCTGGCCTGGAAGAGGGGCAACCGGGACAGAATCCAGCGCCCCAACCGGGACTAGAACCCGGTGTGCTGGCACCGCAAGGCGGAGGATTAGCCTATTGAGCCACGGCGCTGGCCCTAATTACTATTTATTTTTGAAATGGTTGAAATGAGTATATTTATAAGTGAAGGGGTAGGGTAGAACGGCTGATTCAGTTCATGGGCAGGTCGGATATTTGTAGAAGGAAAAGATTTAGCTCACGAGTACAATTTATATTTATACCGTGAGGATGACGCACAGAGGTTATAGAGGGTCGGTGGAAGGGTTGGGCGGGTGTAGGGCAGCCATGACAGGGAGCAGTCAGATGACAGAGAATGGCACTCAAAGTCCATAGTTCAGGTAGGTAACAGGGATCTTTTCCTCCACCAAAGCAGGAGGCTTGAGCACCCACTAGGACATGTATCCGGGACTTGCTAATAAAAGATGACTAAGACGCTGGACTCTCCTCGTGCTCCCTGGGCCGTACCTCAGAACTGATGGAACTTCTGTCCCTACCTCTCTTTCCACCTCTCCCCTGCCTTCTCATCCTTGCTTCTTTTTTTTTCTATCATATTGCTTTCCTGTCTTTCTTTCTTTCTTTCTTTCTTTCTTTCTTTCTTTCTTTCTTTCTTTCTTTCTTTCTTTCTTTCTTTCTTTCTTTCTTTCTTTCTTTCTTTCTTTCTTTCTTTCTTTCTTTCTTTGACAGGCAGAGTTAGACAGTGAGAGAGAGAGAGACAGAGAAAGGTCTTCCTTTCCGTTGGTTCACCCCCCAAATGGCTGCTGCGGCTGGCGCGCTGTGGCCGGTACGCTTCGCTGATCCGAAGCCAGGAGCCAAGTGCTTCCTTCTGGTCTCCCATGCGGGTGCAGGGCCCAAGCACTTGGGCCATCCTCCACTGCCTTCCCGGGCCACAGCCGAGAGCTGGACTGGAAGAGGAGCAACTGGGACAGGACTGGCGCCCCAACCAAGACTAGAACCTGGTGTGCCAGCGCCGCAGGCAGAGGATTAGCCTAGTGAGCTGCGGCGCCGGCCTCCTGTATATATTTCTTCACTCTCTTGCTTGCTCCCCATGGGCCGCTCTACCCCATCTTCTCCGTGTCCCGTGTATCTGTATCTCTGTCTCTGCTGACTCCATCTGTTTTTCTCTTCCCTACTTGCTCAAAAGAGGGAAACAAAACTGGTGTTTAGTGTCTTATCTTTATTGAATAAACACGTTTCCTGTGTTTAATTTTGAAAACAACATAAGGTGAAATTTGGATACTTCTTTCCCTGAAGGGAAAGGTGCATTTGAGTTTCAGTCAGCTTTGTTCCAACGGTTAATGGCCCTTGATAAAAAATTATCCTCCTCCGCCTCTGCTAGGGACCATGGGAGGGAAACAGAGCGGTTCATCTGCCACAGACACAGTGTTTATTTTGCACACACTGTTCACTGGACAGAGATCTTTAATGTGATCATCTCAGAATAATATGTTTTCAAAGTTTGCAGGTATTTTGCCAGAAAATAAAACATAAAAGAACAAGAAAAAAAAATGGAAAATGCATCTCAGTGTCCACAATGAAATTCAAATGTGGGAGTGGGAGTGGGTTAAAAGCCACATTTTTGACCCAAGCAAACAGGTGGTTTCAGGAAATCTCATGCGCTCTATTGCCAGCCAAGAAAATCACTGCCCTCTTGGTTCCCATGAGGTGGCCACAAATAGAGCTGAAACTCCCTGTTGCCTGGTGACAGCGGGTGACACTCCCCCAGACTGCTGGAAAGGACTTCCCAGGCCACACGCAGCACGGCTGGGTCTGGCTCTGGCTGTGGACTCCAGGTGCAGAAACTCAACTGAGTTTGACGTTGACTTTGACTTCTTCCTTTGTTTTTAATTTTATTTATTGTATTTACTTGAAAGGGAGAGAACTGGTTCACTCCCCAAATGCCCACAACAGCTAGGGCTGAGCCAGGCTGAAGCCAGGAGCCAAGAATTCTACCCAGGTCTCCTGCATGGGTGATTGGACTCATGTACTTGAACCATCCATCACCTGCTGCCTCCCAGGGGGCTTATTAAGAGGAAACTGGAATCAGAAGTGGAGCAGGGACTGAAACCCAGGGACTCTGATATGGGACAAAAGCACCCTAGGTGGCTTCTGCTGATTTTTCAAAAGGTTAATTTATTTATTTGAAAGTCAGAGAGAGGGAGAGAGATCAAGGGAGATGGGGAGAGGGAGAGAGCTTCCATTCACTGGTTCACTCCCTAGCTAGCCACAATGGCCAGTGCTGGACCAGGCCAAAGCCAGGAGCTTTATCCTGGTCTCCAGTATGGGTGCAGGAACCCAAGTACTTGGGTCATTCCCCACTGCTTTTCCCAAGCCATCAGCAGGGAGTGTGGAACAGCCAGGACACGAACCAGTGCCCATATGGAATCACTTTAATCAGTGATTTTGCCTGCTATGTCACAATGCCAAGCCCCTAGGTAGCTTCTTTTTTTTTTTTTTTTTAAGGATTTATTTTATTTATTTGAAAGAGTTACAGAAAGAGGCAGAGACAGAGAGAGAGAGGTCTTCTGTCCACTGGTTCACTCCCCAGATGGCCACAACAGCCAGAGCTGTGCCGATCCAAAGCCAGGAGCCAGGAGTCTCTTCCAGGTTTCTCATGCAGGTGCAGGGGCTCAAGGACTTGGGTCATCTTCTACTGCTTTCCCAGGCTATAGCAGAGAGCTGGACCGGAAGAGGAGCAGCCAGGACTAGAAACAGCGCCCATATGGGATGCCAGCGCTTCAGGCCAGGGTGTTAACCCACTGTGCCACAGCGCCGGTCCCCCTAGGTAGCTTCTTAACCATTGTGCCAAACACCTGCCCCAACTATAGCTTTTTTAGGTAACTTAAGGCCAGAAATTTTCTGCTGTGGTCAGCAGAATCATCCCTAGAATTGATAATGAGTTCTATTGAAAATAAATATATAAAAATTTCATACCTTGCTCTGAGCTAAATTCTGAGCTTAGTCTGACCACAGTTTAAATTATGGTCATTACCTTTATAAAATGTGTTCACATTTGATGACTTCGATATAGTACTTTTAATTAAACACTCTTTAAATGTCTTGAAATACACTTTCTAAAGGAATTTGTAATTTTCAAAAAATTATTCAGTTTTTGTAAAAGAAAAATTAGCAATGGAAAGAAAGTGTCTTCAGGGACCAGTGTTGTGGCATAGCTGATAAAGCCTCTACCTGCAACGCCAGCATCCCATATGGGCACGGCTTGAGTCCTGGCTGCTCTACTTCTGATCCAGCTCCCTGCTAGTGCACCTGGGAGAGCAGCAGAGGGTGGCCCAAGTCCTCCAACCCTATAGCCACGTGGGAGACCCAGAGGAAGCTCCAGCCTCCTGATTTCAACCTGGCCCAGGCCCAGCTGTTGTGGCCATTTGGAGAATGATCCAGTGGATGGAAGATTCACCCCCCCCCGCCCCGCCCCGAAACTCTGCCTTTCGAATAAATAAATGAAATTAAGAAAAGAAAAAAGAAAAAAAGAACAGGAGGAGGGATCTTGAACCTGCATTTTCTGTCACTTTTAGCCTTCATGCTTAATTGTAAATTAATTTAATTAAGAGAATACAAAGGCAAAAATGTTTACAAAAGTAAACGAAGTGCTTACTTATATAGGTGTGACTTCATAGGTATTGCAAGATATAAAAAGTAACCTGGAGACAGGCTGTTGGCCTGGTAGTTAAGACACCAGTCAGAGTGCCTGCATCCACCAGGAAGAGCCTAAATTCAGTCCCCAGCTTTGGCTCCTGCTTATAGCTCCCTGGTAATGCAGCTCCTGGGGAGCAGTGGTGACAGCTCAAGTACTCAGGTTCCTACCACCCATGTGGGAGACCTGGATTGAATTCCGCAGCCCTGGCCTGGACCCCTGGCTGTTCCAGGCATTTGGTGAGAGAAGCAGATGGACACTAGCTCGCGCGCGCGCTCTCTCTCTCTCTCTCCCTCCCCCACACAATCACACTCAGACACACACCTGCTCTTCCTCAATTTGATCATTCCTGAGAGTTGAAACCACGGAGTCCCTGGGCGGTTTACTGTGTGAGTCTGATGGCACCAGAACTCCCTCACAGAGGGCCAGTTTAAGGTGACTTTCTTTTAAATAAATGTTTCACTTGCTCTGACTTATGTTTTTGTCTTAACTTTCCCCCCTTTCCTTTCTCCACTTATGCCTCTCAGGACGAATGTTGCCTTTCACTTCACTGCCAGCCCCTCTCAACCTCAGGTAAGTGAGGGGATCCAGGAGTGGGCAAGATCCCACCGTTGGTGTTGCCCCAAGAAACCACAGTGAAGACAGGTAGAGCCAGTGTGTGGTGTTTCCCCTGATCTTTCAGAATTGCACATTTGCTTGTTTTCTGGAATGCTGCTCGTGTTAATGGGATTTTGGAACCAACATTCAGTCTTATCACCTTAATGGGTATGATGTGGAAGGCATGAGATTTGTTTTCAAATGCTCCTTGGTTTAACCTTCCTGGAAAAAACTGTGTCTGCTATGTACCAAGCGGAGTGTTAGACTATATGAGGTGCTGGGAACACCAGGATAAAGAAGAGAGAAGCAGCTGTGCCACATGGATCTGGGAGTTGGGATGGTGCTCTTACCTGACACCAGATATGAAGATAACTAATTGACCTAGAAACACAGTTAAAAACTAGGAAGACATTTGTCTCCATGAAGTTATGAGGGGGAACAAAATAGTTTCTTTTGTCATTAAGGAAGAACAGGAATGTTGACCAAAAGTGTTAGGAGAATTAGATATTTTTGTTGTGCTCTCCTTTAAACCATGATCATAAACTGAATGAATACATGAACACTTGAAATCAGGCTCTCTCTCTGGAGACATGCCTAGCTACCTTTTTTCCTTCATCGCTTCTGAAAGAGTAAAATCTATACAACAGCAAGTTTAAAACATTAATGTCCTGATATTTATTGTAAATTTTCCAAAGGATGTGACATAGCTTTGGTCATAAATGGCTACTGAGATTTTGCTTTGGATATGTGAAACTGGGATTAGCACATTCTGGGGCCTGTTGTGTCCCTGGTAAGTTGGTCAGTGTTTAACAACTGGTTCTCCAGAGAAAGCCCTAATTTACAGTGTTTGCCTACTTCTGCATTGTGAATACCTTTACTGTGACTAATTACAAGATGCCAGCATGATGTCTTTGAACATAGAGTTGAGAACAGAAACAGCTTCTGTGAATGGACTTCAGCACATCTTGTTTTGATTCTTTGAAAGGTAAAATTACGAAGAGAGAGGGAGATACAGAGAGAAATGTTCTATCCGCTGCTTCACTCCCCAAATGACCACGACAGCCAGGACTAGCCTAGACTGAAACCAGGATCCAAGAGCTTCTTTGGGGTCTCCCTCATGGATGCAGGGGGCCCAAGCAATTAGCTCATCCTCCACTGAGCTGGATCAGAAGTGGAGCATCCGGGACTTGAACTTGTGCCCATATGGGATGTCAGCATTGCAGGTGGCAGCTTTACCCACTATGCCACCGCACTGGCCCCCTGCACATCTTTTAAGAGTGGAATTTATTTGTCTATGAAGTCTTCACACTGCACAAGAATGCACTGCCGCCCAGTGGAGGAGAGGGCCACCAGCCTGTAATCCATTGCCCTTAACATTTGTGAACATTTAGTTTCAAGAAAGACAGCATTTAGAAAGTGTTGGTGACCAGGTGCAATAGGATATACCTAGCAGAATGGAGGAACATCTTACCCCTAAATAAAGGAAGAGTACAGTCTACTAGTCCAGTTCAGTCTACTAGTTCAGTTCACACTGAACATTGTATGCAGTCACACTATAATAGAATTGCCTATAGACTGAAAATCAGTGATAGTTACACATTAAGGCTTAATTTTATTTTGAAAATCATGTTAATATTAAAAAGCATGAATAATTTTATATACGCCCTAAATAGAATAAAATATGTTCAGAACAGACTAATATTTATGAAAGACTTTACTCTGAACTGTTCCCACTTTGGCCCTGTGTTTACATCTTCTTTGGTTGCAAGAAAGGTTTTTCTGTTTCTATAAACTCATCTAGGTAGTTGCACATTCTCAGGAACTTTTTGTCACTCACTGTCTGCCTCTGTTTCTGTACACAGAAGCAAGCTGTAGAAACTGGGCAGGAAGTCAGGCCCCACGTGGTGATTTTTAGCTTAAACTCCAGTCATTGCTTTGAGTACTTGTCATGTGCTTCTTTCTGGTAAAAGTGGATTGTGAGGACAGCAGCCAAAAATATTTATTTGGGGTTATGGTAATTTAGAAATAAAGAAGGTGGGCCGGCGCCGCGGCTCACTAGGCTAATCCTCCGCCTTGCGGCGCCGGCACACCGGGTTCTAGTCCCGGTCGGGGCGCCGGTTCTGTCCCGGTCGCCCCTCTTCCAGGCCAGCCCTCTGCTGTGGCCAGGGAGTGCAGTGGAGGATGGCCCAGGTGCTTGGGCCCTGCACCCCATGGGAGACCAGGAGAAGCACCTGGCTCCTGGGCTCCTGCCATCGGATCAGCGCGGTGCGCCGGCCGCAGCGAAGCGCGGCCGCGGCGGCCATTGGAGGGTGAACCAACGGCAAAGGAAGACCTTCTCTCTGTCTCTCTCTCTCACTGTCCACTCTGCCTGTCAAAAAAAAAGAGAAAGAAATAAATAAAGAAGGTGGATAATACTTTCACATATAGATAAGGCTTCAGTAGGTGTCTACTGCTTGTACAAAACCAGTATGGGAATATATATATATATATATATATATATGATGTTTATCACTGCTCGCAGTAATCACAGTAATTTTCTGGAGTAATAATGTATGGTTTCCTTGAGAATCAAGAATACCTCTTGGGAATTCTAGACTGCTCACCTTTAGGAGAACCCTATATTATATCTATTTAAATCAAGGTCCAAATGAGTTTGGTTCTTTGGAGGTGTGACTGTCAGTTACAACACGTGAACTTCCAGACAGCAGTGTTAACGACACTCTTTCATCTTGAGATGAATTTTTTTCCCACTGGAAACCTTTGGATTATGAAAAACATTCTGTTTTTATTGCCTGATTCTCAAAAACAGGTTTAGTAAAGAGGACGTTAACAACGTTAAGGCTTAGCATGTTTTGTCTTTAGAGGCGATATATTTATTTGTACCAGGATATGGGGTTTGTCTGGGTTGGTGTCCTCAAAATCTTTTTTTTTAAAGATTTATTTATTTATTTGAAAGGCAGAGGTAGAGAGAGAGGGAAAGAATTCTTCCATTCGATGGTTCACCCCCCAGATGGCCGCAACGGCTGGAGCTGAGCCTATCCGAAGCTAGGAGCCAGGAGCTTCTTCCTGGTCTCCCACGCGTGTGCAAGGGCCCATCTTTTACTGCTTTCCTAGGCCACAGCAGAGAGCTGGATCAGAAGTGGAGTAGCTGGGACTCGAACCAGTGCCCGTATGTTATGCCAGCACTACAGAAGGTGGCTTTACCGGCTACGCCACAGCACTGGCCCCCCTCAAAATCTTAATCACAAACTTGATATAGCTTCTCAGCCAGTTATCAAATTTATAACTGTTAAGCAAAATTCCCCTTCCTTCATTGGTAGCTACGTGTTTAAAACTTAGAGTTAATACATTTTCCCAGTAGATTCACAATCCAAGTAGGTAAGTAGCATTTTCTGTTTCTGGTAATATCTGAGAAATACTTTCTAAAACTACCTGGCCTGGCCAAAACTGCAAATATAGTTCAAGGGAGCTAGATGTAGGCCTTAGGCTTTGAATCTGAATATTTTCTCAGGATATTGCAGCCAGGAAGTAGATACTTTAGCAAAATGTCTAGAGGAAGGGTTGGTCTGGAGCTCATTCTTGTCCAGGTGAAGGTGGTTAAATTCTTGAAGAACAGGCATGTCTGCTTTTCAAGGTAGAGCTTCATGTTTCACAATGAGCACAGACATAAATCTTGTTTTATATAACATCTCATGGGCCCTTGATTCAAAGCGAGTGGGGATACTTTTTAAGTAGGAAATGAAAATGAAGTATAGCAAAGTGTAGTCAAGAAAGAAATGACCACCCCATGCAATGAAATGGCACACTGTATGAAATGGCTATTTTGCCTTTATTCCTTGTTGTATTCTTGCTGTCTGGCACAGGGCCCTGGGCAGAGCAGTTAGTTGTTCAGGGCTTAAGATGCATAGTTCACTGATGGGATCTATATCAAACCTGGTGCCTAACAATAGGTGAAACAATCCTATTCCTGTGAAAATTGTTTGAATTGCAGTTTGTAATTATAAACATTTCTTACTATTAACAACTCATGTCTTTCTTTTTCTTATTCTCAGTATTTTCTATACAAATTTCCCCAAGATGTGGATTCAGTTATTATTACAGTGGTATCCGAAATGGCTTATCCTTGTTCTGTGGTCTCGGTCCAGAATATCATGGTGAGTTCTGATAACTTGTCGGCCTGCTGATGTGGAGCATTGCGTTGTCTCAGAATAAATGAAAAGAGGGCTGGGGACCCTGTCATCTACTTACTGTGTATCTCCCTCAAATCTGCTGAATAATAAGATAGTATCTTGTGCAAACAGCTGGGCAGTCCATGTTTAAAATGCTGATCTGGATAGAGAAAGAACAGTTAATTCCTCAGTAAATTAAATGAAAGAAAGAAAGAGGGAGGGAGGGAAGGAGGGCAGATCACAATGAAGAACAAAGAAGACCAAGTTATGGAGGCCAAAAGAAAAATAAGATAGAAACTACCTTTTGTCCTGTTTTCACAATTTATTGTAACATTATGGGGCTGGCATGGTGGCATAGCGGGTAAAGCCACCATCTGCAACACTGGCATCCCAGATGGGCACCAGGTCGTGTCCTGGCTGCTCCACTTCTGATTCAGCTCTCCTGCTAATGGCTTGGGAAAAGCAGCAAAAGATGGCCCAAGTGTTTGAGTACCTGGCACTGACATGAAAGACCCAGATGAAGCCGCTGGCTCCTAGCTTCAGCCTGGCCCAGTCCTGGCCGTTGCAGCCACCTGGAGGTTGAACCAGTGGATGGGGGATCTTTCTTTCTCTGCAACTCCCACTTTTGAATAAATAATAAATCTTTAAAAATTTTATCATAGCATTAGATTCCTTCTGTCTCATGTGGTATTAACAAAAAATGGAAAGGAGTTATCTACTTTTCGTAGCTGTCTTTGATATGAAGTGACTTTGACTTCAGAGGACAACACACTAAGTTTAGGGGAAACCTTTTCATGGTTTCTGTCTTGGTAAGGATTCCTCTGCTCTGTGACCCAAATGGAAAGGCCCAGATAGGATCTGTGTGTGGTATGATGTTATATACTATTCATGATGCTTTCCTTTTATCTCTCTCATATGCTGCAGTGTCCAGTGTATGATCTTGACCACAATGTGGAATTTAATGGTGTCTATCAGTCCATGACCAAGAAAGCTGCTATCACACTACAGGTGAGAATGCTTCTGTGGTCACTATTGTTAATGACAATTTGCAGTAGATGGTCAGTTTACCTACTGGACCAGCTTCCAAAAGGGATGGCCAACCACTGTGTTTCTTTCTGATTAGTTTGAAAAGTGAGATTGCTATGCCTTGGTGATGGTAGATAATGCAGCTCCACCAAGTACCCTTTGCTCTTAGGGCTTCTTAAGAACCCCTGGCCCATGGGGCATAAATCTGATAGATGACTCAGAGAGGTAAAGGCAGAAGATTACAGTCTACTTGTTGGGGATGCTGATTTGGTGCGAAATTTATCAGATCTACTTAAATCAATTAAACAGATTCTAATAATTTGTACCAGTAACAGTCACCAAAAGAGGACTTCAAGTCTGGACACAAGGATCAGGTTCAGTACAGCAATTTATCTGTTTCTGGTGTCTGTAATTAAAGTATTATTTCAATGGTAATTTTATAGCACAAATAGATGCATGTCATGTAAGCATGATTCTATCCCTGCGTTTGGGGAAGTACTTACTTAACATACCTGCAGCCTGATCTCTTCCCCAAGGTTAAGATGATGCTTTTTATTGACTAACAAGCACAAAAATGAAGAAAAGTTAGTTATAATGTAGGGATCAAGCTTCAAAACTTCATTAGTCAGGCTTTCATTTTTGAGGACTTCAAAAATGATTTGATATCTCAAATATCTTCTCTTGTTCTTAGCGTTTATTTCTTCCATAGCATTCCAGTGTTATATGGTCCCAAATAAAAAGGGACAGAAAAATAACCACAATAGGGAACTTCAGGTTTTATATTGCCTAGGACACTAAATTAATAATGAGTAGAGCATATAGTGTATGTCTACCTTATGGATGAGGAGTTGGGATCATATTATTGTTGGATTTTTAGCAAAGCTCTCTGGCAGTTATAGAACTATAATGGACCATAAAGATCATCTTTTGAGAGTTAGGGTTTAGCCTAGCAGTTAAGATACCAGCATCCCACAATGGAGTGCCTGGATTTGATTTCTACCTCCTGATGCTAAGTTCAGGTTTCTGCTAGACCCTGGGAGGCAGCAGTGATGTTGTAAGTAATTGGGTTCCTGCCACTCATGTGGGAGACCTGGATTGAGTCCTTGGCTCCTGGCTCCCGGCTTTGGCCCTGGCCCTGGCCCTAGCCCTGGTCCAGCCCCAGCCCCAGCCCCAGCCCCAGTCACTGTAGACATCTGGGGAGTGAACCAGTACATGGGAGCTGTGTGTGTGTGTGTGTGTGTGCGCACGTGCACGTGTTTGTCTCTATCTGTCTCTCTCTGTGTCATTCTTCCTCTCAATAAATATTTTATAAGCTTTTAAAAATCACCTGTCAACATGCTTCTTCATCGATAAGGGACACAGAGAGAAGCACAGTTAAAGAAAGTGAAAGCCAGACTGTAATTCAGATCTTCTGACTTGGGTCCTTTGCCTCCCTCACTTAAATTATTTATTTAACTGCTGATGTTGTGACTGTGAGGAAAGTTACTATTTATCATTACATTTTAATATAAAATAATATACCAGTATTAATTATTAAACATGGCTGTTGATGTTTTTAGATGGTGCATATTATAGATCTAAGCACTCAAGTGGGCACAAACTAGATAGAAATCACAATAATGTATCTACTTAATTTCTTGGGTATAATAATGATTATGGATAATCTGGAAAAGACCATGGATATTTGTAAGCCCTTTCTATGGAGCTCCGGGCCAGTGGTGAACTTTTCTTAGATCTTCCTTTCTGCCCTCCTCCCCCCACCCCCCACCTCGGCCCCAGACATTCTCCCTTCTTATTTTCTCTCTTACCTGCCTATCATAATGTTGTTATGTCTTATGCAGAAGAAGGATTTTCCAGGCAAGCAGTTCTTTGTGGTGTTTGTGATAAAGCCTGAAGATTATGCCTGTGGAGGCTCATTCTTCATCCAGGGTAAGCAATAATGAGCAATACTGGGGAGGAAATGAAAGGGAAGTCGAAAGCTCATTTCTAGTTCCCATTAAGTAAGGATCCATCACCAGTGACATGGCAAGGTAGCCTGAGAAATACTCAAGAAAAAATAAAATGAATCAAATCATTAATCAAAATGTATTTCTGAAACTACAAAATGTCATTTGGCACATCTCATCTTTTCAGTCTCGCACTCCTTCAGACCGTGTAAGGTAAGTTCACTCAGTTGGCCCTTTACTCAACAAATTACTATCGTAAAGTGCTAATCTTACATAGAGGATCAAGACCCAGCTCCTAAGATCAGCTTGGTAGCCAACAGTAATGAAGTCACTTGTGTTTATGAGTTGTCATTTCCACAAGGATACACAAGAAAAATGTAGCATTCTCCATTCCAGTTGCCAAAGTTATTCTCAAAAATAAAGAACGAAGTAGACAGCTTATTTCACTGATGAGAGGTTGGGTGAGCTCGTAGGCATAGTGTTGATAGCTATGGGTAACTACTCAGTAACTACCTTGGGAATGCAGTGGTCTCTTGATTGAAAACGTCAGCTGCTGATGAGCCTGATATAACCAATACAGAGGATGTTTACTGTTGGGTGCACCATGGTTCCCTTGAGATTCAGGTGAAATTTCTGCTATTGTGTTAATCTCTGAAATACAGAGATCTAGAGTTTTACCAAAGTCTATTGTTCTTACAACCCTTTGATGACTATGTACAGGAAAAAAAATGTCACTTGCTAGAAGACTGCAAACCAGAGGAAGAGGTAGCACTCTGCATTTTTCAGCTGTTTTCTCAGATGTCCAGAGAGCAGAGAAAGGTCAGCGCTTCTTCATTGGGGAAGGCTGCTGCAATCTTAGTTGCATCGATAAATGCTACCAAAATGCACCAAACAAAGGCCAAACTGAGAGTCTTAACCAAGAGGAATGTTAGTGATTTGAGGGGTGGGGGTTAGACTTTTTCTCCAGTTCTTCCTAAAGTAAGATTCAGCAGCCAGAGTTAATTCTGGTACTTTAAAAAAAAAAAAAAAAAAACTGTTCATATGAGAGGCCAAGAATCTGGTATCTAAACCATCGCACTCTGCTATTTTGTTGTTGTTACCAGAAAAGGAGAACCAGACGTGGAATCTACAACGAACAAAGAACCTTAAAGTGACCATTGTCCCTTCTGTTAAAGGTCAGTGCTGGCTCCAGAAAGAGTCTTATGTTAGGAAATCTGTCATAGAATTCAGTGTTAATGTCATCCTACTAGAGAGAATCATCACAATAAAACCTGAGTACATTTACCTTAGAGATAAAAGAGGGAATCAGAAACCCTCCTCAAAAGAAAGGGAATTCAATTCTGGAGTCGGATACAGCAGTCCCTTCTGGTATCCAGCGACAAATACTCTCCTGGAAAAACAGTCCCTTTGGATTCAAGCTGGATAACCTCTCATGGTTTTGCTGTGATGAAAGAAAATTTCTTAGAATTTAAGAATGAGTGTGATGGCGGTGGACCCTTTAAGCTGCCCCATCCCAGAGTCTTCCTTCTGAGGACAACTTGACCAAAGTCGTTTCTCTCCCCTCAGAATCTGTTTATGTGAAAGCCAGTCTCTTCAGTGTCTTCATCTTCTTATCCTTCTACTTGGGATGCCTGCTGGTTTTGTTCGTTCATTACGTGAGGTAGGTTGAAAACATTAGAGAATGTTAACCCTTCTCCCTACCTCTGCGCAATCATCCGCCACAGGCTTCAGGCCCACAGTCACTGGATTCAGTTTGACCTCAGCCATCAGCTCTGTGACTTTGCAGAAGCTGCTTAACCTCTCTATGCTACCGGTTCCCCCATCTGCAAGACGAATCATTCACCTCACAGAACAGTATAATTTGCATATTTACATCAATGTCGTGCACACAGGAAGTGCTGGTAGGTTGTTGGTTATTTTCATAGTTAAAACCTCAACAAAAAGACAATCTGTATACTTTTGGTTCAGAAAATACTCACTGTAATTCCTACAAAATATAGGAAATGATCTGTTCTTCCTAACATGGAAATTTAGAAAGAGCTTTAAATAGTCTGTCAGAAGGTAAATTGAATGCCTAAAATCAATCCCGAGGTCCCATCAATAACAGAAGTAATATGCTTGGATATACGCTGCAGCTGCTGCAGTGTCAGTTTTCCAGTCAAGTGTCCCTGGAAGATTTAAGAAAAGGTTGGCGTGGGGGTCAGAGATGACTGTGTTGTAATTCAATCAAGGAAATCCCCCTTCTCAAGAGTTTGGATCCCCTAATATCAAAGCCCCGGTCTCGGGTCTCCTTTCCCCTCTCAGCAGGACTGGACCTTGAGAATTCCATTCTTTGTTGTGCTCTCTGTGAAGCAACTACAAAAGAATGGCAAGAGGGTTACAGTAAACAATGTTCTTTTCTCCTCTTGAACATATAAAGAAAGCAAAGCCTGTACAGAGTTGTGAGATTAACTCCATCTGTAAAAAGCTTCCCTACAGCTGTGACAGAACTATCAGTGATACAAGCCAAGCTCTGACTCAAGAACAAATTCCCTTCCGTGACTTTGATGGAAGTTCTGAGTTGAGATATTGCCTTCAGAAACCTCAGGACACCCTCAGCCAAATCTGGGAGACGTTGCGCACCAAAATAACTGAGGATAGTGGATTATAAACCACTGGAAGGAGCTAGAAATTCATGAATTCATTTTGATAAAGAAAGCAAGGAGGGACATAAGCACCTACAGTTAGTTGTTGATCACCCTACAGTGAGTGTGCAGGCCCTGGGCCAAGCCCTAAATCCACAGTCTCTTATTTGTTCTTCTCAACTACCCTATCAGACATTGAGTCCAAACTGCCAGAGCCTAAATACTCATCCTTCCCTTTGATGCTTACATTAGTTACCCATTTCCACAATGCTGCTGCATTAAAAAAAAAAAAAAAAAAAAAAGGCACAAAACTCCAGTGGCATATAGCAATACCTATTTGCTATTTAAGTTTGCTCATAAGCCTGTGTGAGCCAGAAGGTTCAGCCAGTATAGGCTGGGTTCAGGATCTCAGCTGGTCGTTGAGCATGATCTACTGGCATGTCTCTGTGTGTGTGCATGTGTGTGTGTGTGTGTAAATGATTCATATACATGTATATGTATGAATAATGGAATAGGGTTGAAAGTTTAGAAATAAACCAATACATTTATAGTTAATCAGTTTTGGACAAGGGTACCAGTACAATTCAATGGAAAAAGGATATTCTTTTCTTTTTTTTTTTTTTTAAGATTTACTTATTTATTTGAAAGTCAGAGTTACACAGAGAGAGAAGGAGAGGCAGAGAGAGAAAGAGAGGTCTTCCATCTGCTGGTTCACTCCCCAGATGGCTGCAATGGCTGGAGCTGAGCCGATCCAAAGCCAGGAGCCAGGAACTTGTTCCAGTCCTCCCATGTGGGTGCAGGGGCCCAAGGACTTGGGCCATCCTCTACTGCCTTCACAGGCCATAGCAGAGAGCTGGATCAGAAGTGGAGCAGCCAGGACTTGAACTGGTGCCCATATGGGATGCCAGCACTGCAGGTGGTGGCTTTACCTGCTACGCCACAGCGCCAGCCCCAGGATATTCCTTTCAACAAATTATTCTACAATTAGATGTTCACTTGAGAAAGAATGACATTATAATCTTACTCCACCACACATCCAAAAATTAACTCAAAATGAAAAAAACTAAATATAAGAGCCAAATTATAAAATTCTTAGAAAAAACATACATGTAAACCTTTATGACTTTGGATGAGGTAATGATTAGTTCTCAAGGTAGTGAAAATACAGCCACAAAATAGGAGAAAAATATTTGTAAATCAATATATCTGAAAAAAGTCTAATCTCCAGACTATATAAAGAATTCTTACAACACAGTGATTTAAAAAAGACAACCTTATTTAAAAGTAGACAAAGTATTTAAATAGATGTTTCTTCAAAGAAGATACACAAATGCTAACAAGCACATGATAGAATATTCAACATCATTAGCCATTAGAGAAATGAAAATCACAACTACCAGGAAATTTCATATCCACTAGGACAGCTATCATAAATTTTTGTTAATGAAAAACAGTGAATTGGAAAGGATGTGGAGAAAATGGAATCCTGATACATTGTTGGTGTGGATATAAAGTAGTTCTTGCTTGCAGCCATTGTGAAAAACAGTTTGGGAAAAAAAATTAACCATAGAATTACCACTTACCCAGCAATTCCACTCTTATGTATATTCCTAAGAGAATGGAAACATGTCCACACAAAAGTTTGTACACAAATGTTGTAGCAGGGATATTCATGATAGCCAAAGAGTGGAAACCACTAAAGCTTCTATCATATGCAAACAAATAAATGTAGTATGGTATATACACCCAAGGGATACATTCAACCAGAAAGGACTGGATTACTGGTACATGCAGCATTGTGGATGAACCTTGAAAACACTATGCCAAGAGAAAGAAGCCAGTCAAAAATTCACAGATGCATGATTCTGTGTATGTGAAATGTCCATAATAGGCACATGTATAGAGACAGAAGTAGGTTACAGGAGTGAATTATATCTGAAAACTGATGAATGAATTGATGGACATGCCTAGGAATGGAATTGCTGGTTGTATGATAACTCTGTTTAACTTCCTGAGGAAATGTCAAACTATTTTTCAAACTGTCAAATGATTTTCCCAAGTGACTGTACCATTTTACAGCAGGGGGGATGTATCAGGGTTCCAAATTCTCTGTATCTAAAGGCCCATTTTTTAAGAGATCTTAGCAGAAAAGTCTGCAACAAAGTCTATAGGGAACAAATGTAAAACGCTGAGGTCTTCTCCATCTTAGTAGCGTGTTTATGTGCTTGTTTGCAGGTTTCACAGGAAATCCATTGATGGAAGCTTTGGTTCCAACGATGGTAAGAAAATCCCTGGTTTACATTCAAAGTGACATAAAATAGTGTGCTGCCATCCCACTTGGTGCTTCCTTGTCTCTACCTTTTGCAATTTTCAAACCTTCCCTTGGTTCCTATCCCACAAAGTGGTCCAATTGGCAGTTTTTTTATGGAAAGATGAGTGAGTAAGACCAACATTATGGCTGATGGTTATTGAGACAGGGAGCTCACACCCAGAACCTTGGCATGTCTCTTGTAACAATCCACAGATTATTTACAAACCACTCATATTTTATGTTAAAAGTTTAGTGTTTTCTAGCATGTGATTGTTCATACCTATCTTATCCCAAAGCTAATTCGCCAACAATAGTAAGAATTTGATGTGTCAACTCTAACACAGAGTTTGCTTTTCCCAAACTGAGGCAAAGGACTTTTTAAAGTATCTAGAAAACTGAAATATTTGGGACTAAGAAGTGTAATAAAAGAGTATAACAATTTTGGGGAATTCAGGATAATTCCATATCCGACCCGCTGTAGCAGACGCTTTCTTACACTCTGAGATTTGGAACAAAAGAATTTAGTTGTCTCACCTTTTATCAACACTTGAAATGTAAATACCTTCACTTTTTGAAATGCAGTAATCAGCATGAATTCCTCAGTGCTCATAGGCTGTACCACAAACAGAGAGAATGTAGCGAAGGATGATGAAGTGGGTCTTGATTTTTTAAGTTGCCTGTGGCAGATGTAAAGTGTTGTGTTTCTACAGTGAAGTGAATCCACAGAATCTTAGAAAGACGCAGACTCAGCCACTGCCCCCACCCAGCAGCAACATTTCTCCCGTTGCTGGAGAGCTTGCTTTTTTTTTTTTTCCACATTTATCTTCCTTAATGTCAGCATGTCTATTTTTCTAGCCACCCAGGCGCTTTGTTTTACTAAGCATTCAACTGCCAATATAAGAGACTGTAAAGGAACACCTGCTCTTGTAGCTTTAAAATGCTAAGTGCTACTTTCTCTTTTATTCATAAAATGTTTAAATGAATTTGCTCTCTGGTTCTCCTTTTCCTACAATGCTCCCAAGTTTGTTTTTATTTTAGACCTAATTGAACTTAAGCATAAATTAAGTTGATTGGATCCCTTTGGGTACCCTCTGAATGGATGGTCTGTTACTTTTTGTTGTATGGGTGAAGTCATTTTATTATTGTGACCATAATCAAAGCAATTCCGCATTCAAAAGGAACTCCTGAACATTCCAGCCCGAGTGGACAGAGCTGGGACTTGAGCTAGACCATTATCCAAGATCAGGAAGGCTGTGAAAACCAGCCAAGACTTAGAGACACCCTTCCGAGGATGAAAAGAAATAAATGAGTGACCAGAAGAATAAAGACATATCATGAAAGTGCATGTGGCCACAAGTAACAACAGTAACAACAAAATGTGTCTCAAGGACACTTGAGCAATAACTGGCTCCTATCCCAGGGTGTCAGGATGGATTGAGCCCAATTGCTCAGGCCTATTCCCCTGACTCTGCTTCCCTCCCCGAGGCTGGTGGGGAGAAGGGTGCAGGCTTACACCTCCACGTGATGACGTCAGAGGGAAAGACTTTCAGAACCTCCCAGAAACTTCTCCTGGTCCTTCGTGGGTCTACAGTGGATCATTTATTTACTGTTAAGGCAAAGGAATAAATAGGTTTACTTACATCAGACAACCGTATTTTTAGAATTCAGAGATTCTTTTTGTCTAAGACCAGAGTTTCTCAAATCCAATATTGTTGACATTGTGGGTCTGATAATTCTCTGTTGTTGGGGGCTATCACACACATGGTAGTGTTATAGGAATATGTTTCCTGGTTTTATTCCAAGTCCTTGCCCCACTTTGAGATGAGAATTCAAACAAGAGGCATAAGTGAGGTGCATTAATGAGAACAAGATTTTTTTATGTGTTTTATTATTGTATTGTATTGCATTTTTTAAATTTTTAATTAGCTTTTGACAGATTCAATATTCATTGTAGATACAATTCTAAGACCATAATGATATTCCCTTCCCCCTCCATCCCTCCCTCATCCGCTTTCCCTCCCACCCTCCTTCCTTCTCCTTTTCTTTTTTTTTTTTTTTTTTTTAATTTTTGGGATAACATATTTTAAATTTACCTTACACTAAAAAAGGCTTAATGCTACCACCAAATAAGAAGTTTAATAAGTAAAAAGCAAAAGATACCCCAGTTTAGTGAGAATACAGACAACGGCTATAAACAGTAATTGAATGGAAAAATGCCCATTTCACCCATATACAGTAAATTGTCTCACAGATCATTAAGACTACAGTAGTATAACTTGCTTAATCATTAGTTTGACAAAGTGAAAGAGAGATTGAATACACACTCATGCGTGAACGTGGGCAATGCCACAGTGAGCGATACCTACATGAGAGGGCCAGAGAAAAGCCTGTGAGGAGAGACGTGGGAGAGGGGAGAGAGGACTGGCAGCGAGGGCAAGAAGCTGAAAGGGCCACTCCTGTGTGCAGCAGTTCCCTTTATGGGTAGGGAGTAGTCCCCTGGTTGAATATACAGTCAGGGTGGAGTCTGGGCAGAGTTAGTGTCTGTGAGGTTTTCTGGGAGTTTCATGGAGCCTCCACATGGAGTTTAACTTCCACGTGGCATCATGGCCTCTCCTCCTTTCCAGCCTTAGATGGGATGCAGGTGCATCATGGGAAAGTGGATACACTGGATTGGCATGTGAGGAGTGGAGTTACGGTGCAGGGCTGTTGAGACAGAAGGTGCAGGGAAATCTCCCAGCTCGTTTATTCCTGTTTGACTTCCTGCCTGGTTCTCTTGTTTCTGTAGGATGTGTATCAGCATTCTTTACCCCCACCCACTAGATTCCAGTAGCGTGCTCCCTCCTTTTGCACCTCAAAATGTCCCCAGACTTTGCCGAAATATCGTCTTGAAGACAAAACGATCCACTCCCCACCTCCCCCTGCTTGAGAACCATGGACTGAAACACATCAGCTGATGGGCACAAGTGGGGAGACCTGAACCAAACGCCAGTTTGGCAGTGTTCACCAACATGGGCTTTGAAATGGGGAGAGGATGAGGACCCCTTGTTAGAAGACAGGGACAGGGAAGACGGTACTACATCCAGCACCGCATGAACAGAAGTCAAGGTTTGCCCTGTAGAGCTAGTCAGTGGCTCTTTTAGGCTTTTGGAACATAGCATTGAAAAGCCAGCTGAGAATGAGAAACAGAGGTAAACAAAGTCCATTTCTGAAAGCTGATATGCTACATTCAGGGAAGGAACCATCGGAGAAACAGAAATGCCTTTCTCTCCCAGGGCCAGCATTATGCGACTGTAGAGAGCCGGAAGTTCAGTGGAGGTCCGAGCTGCAGGAGACACCCAGAGGGTTTAAAACCAGAGAAAATGCAAGGGGCAGTTTCTGAAAGGGGAAGAACGTCTCACTTCTCATCCTTATTAAAGAGGTTCTACAGAAATTCAGTTACCAACTGGGAAGACAGACTAATGACGCCTCCCTCTCAGGCTTCTGAAGCCACACGAGCCACTACCATGCACCTAGGGTGCAGCATAAGAGATTATCTTCTCAAGTGAGAGAGTTTGACAAACCTGACCAGGCTGTAGATTTTACAACAGAAATAGCCAGCCCAATCCTTTTCTGGATACAGGCATTCCTGAATCAGCCTCTTAGCAAAGAGCAGGGTCTGGGGGCAATAAGACAAGGAGTGTGTTGAGTTTGCAGAACCCAAGGAGCACAAGCCATCCCCAAGTTCTGTGGCAATGGGACTCAAATCCAGTCCTGGTTCTCCCTTCTTTTCCCAAATTTCCTTGGCTTTTCTTGCCCACTTTCTTCTCCAAGAGGCATTTCACTTTTACATTCCTTCTCAAATATTAATAGTTTTCTTTACTTTCTCCTCAACTTTTGAAACAAAACACGAGGCTGGTTGGGGTGGATACCAGTCGGCATAAAAATAAAATTCACATCATTCTGGCCTGCTCTTCAGCTCCCAGCCTTCTGAGTCTTCAGAGACCGAAGGAGGCAAGACAGCTGTCAATGAGGAGGCCCCAAAAGATTCACATATGCTTAAAATGAAATGAACATTTTCCTCTCACACAGGGTATTTCACGTAAGGGGCACGCATGCACGCGTATCCTGTTCTGTCAGTGAAGTAGACAGATGGCGAGGGTCTGGTCCTCAGAGAAGTCTACACTCACACAAGTCTCCCGATTCAGATGAGGTCATTCCTGAGCTGATACATCTGCTGTTTCCAGCCACAACATCTTGGCCTGTCCTGTCAACTGAAATCTTGTATTTAATCCTGCCTTTGGAATACTTTACAGTTAAATATCAGTTCAGTTTCCCTCCTAAGACTGTGATCATACTTGAAGTTGAGGGGAATCTGATTTGGTTTTTGCATTCTTTTTTTTTAAATGGACAAATTTCATGTATTTCATGAAACACAGTGATAGTTAGGAACATAGTGATACTTTCCAGCCTACTCTGCCTCCTCCTTCCTTCCTTACTCTTTCTTTTGTTACGATGATTTACTTTCAGTTAACTTTATACTCATGAGATTAACCCCACACTAAGTAAAGAGTTCAACAAATAATAATAAGAAAACAAAAAACACTGTTCCTCTACAGTAGAGACAAAGGCTGTAAACAATCATTGAATCTCAAAATGTCCATTTTTTCAAAAGTCCTCAGACATAAACAAAATTAACAGAATGCCGTTATCCAGTGTCACCCAATCTCATCTGTACATTGTGCGTGTAAAAGTCCACAGAGTGAAAACATTTCTAAGTGCTGGCAATTGTATTGCACATGAAAATCTTGTCCAGCACAGAACCCACAGTACTGCAGTTGCCCGAGAGTGTGCAGGGCTGGACACCACATGCAGACAAGATCTGGCTCCCTTGTGAGCCAGAGCAGAGTGCAGAAATCAGTGACTCATCGAGGTCGGACCGATCTGCGATCTGTGCAGCTAACTTTGTGATTTTAATGCAGTTGTCACCTA